CTATTTGTCTATTTTGCTGACTTAGGCATCGGAGAGGTATCTGGCACACACCCTCCGGCTAGCTCACGTTTGTGTTTTCAGGGAGTAAAGCGACGACGTACGGAGGAGAGCAGACTTGATCAACAGGATTATACGAGAAGAATTATTTCGTGCTCGTACAAATAATAATATTAAATACAAATATATAAGAAGTATTCGATGAAAAGTATGAAATACATATCCAATCTAACACCCTTATCTAAGAGTAGAGTGGCAGCTAGATTTATGTTGAAGAGTCTATATATAGTAGGTTAACTGAATATCATATTTAAGTCGGTCAGAGGATGATTTTTCCTCCTTAGAGACTGTAAGTAGAAATTGTTACTAATCAAAGGGACCCAAGATGACTAATTCCAAATGTGAAGTTTTAGGCATAGAGAACGTGAATGGAAACAGGTTCCTCCAATCAAGTTTTTGCCTATTGTTGAAATTTTCAACATGGAGTACGTTTGAGACTCTTAAAATTTTATTTTTGAATTTACTTGTAATGATATAAACTGTTACATAAACCTTATTGGAGATAAATTTAGAAGTAATTTTTAGGAGTCTCTAGACCATTTTTAACTAAATTTATTTATGATCACTGACATAACAATATGAAAAATAAATAAATCAAATCAATATTAAACCTTCACAATACGAAATTGATATAAATAACTCGTTTAATGTAGTTCTAATTAGAGAGAGAAGTGTTGGCACTAAAATTTGTGTTCTTTGTCGATTAAGCGTAACAAATGTAGAGAGTTGATCCAGTGGATGCTAGGGGTGAAGACCACCAGTTTATAGTGGAACTTGAGTCCCAGAATGCAGAGTGGCGGTTAACGGCAAGACAGTCAAAGGAGCAGATGTGGCAGACTCAATTTTTCTTGTTGATTCATCTGATAATGCAGTAGAATGTGGCCAAACACAGTCCAAGTGTCAAGCCATGAAGTTAGGAATGCAAATGATGCAGGGTACGTGGCTTGTTTGCAAGAGGAAAAGAATGTTGCAGCAGAGAAGCAGTTACCAATAGTTACGGAGATCATGGGCAGTTATGCAAGAATTGGAGGTAACTGGCTCCATAATGGGACACGTGGCAGTAGAGAAGCAGCAGGGCCAGCAGCATGAAGGCTGGAAATTCGAAGTAAAGACGACGACTTCAACAACATTCACAACCTATGCGAAATTAGGAGTAACATAACTTAACTAGTAGTAGCTTTTGTACTTAGGTCTATAGAATGACACATTGGACTTGAAATTTAATTTTTGTAATTAAGTGGCAAGTTTACTTGTTCTTCAATCAATTTCAGTTTATTCTCACTTGTTTCTTTGGATTATAACCTCCAAAGAAGTCCTTGAATCTGTCAAGGCATGGAACACCAGCCACAGTCACTTGATCTGTTGTTGTTTGTGAAGTTTTGGTTTCTTTGTCGAATCACCTCTATCGATTTGACTCAAATCAGATTTTTGCTAACATATTTTGGCACGCCCAGTGGGACTTGTCTAATTTGGAGTGATGGTTAGGAAGAAACAACATGAAGTCTTTGAAGACCTTGAGAAAAGGGTTGAGTTGGATGGTAGGCTTGAAGAAGTGCAAGACAACCTAGTTGATGGCCATTCAGTGGCTAGGCAGGAAATAGGTCAAGGAAATGACCAAAATGTGGCCAAAACTGTCCAATCCAGTTGCCCTCTTGTTGATCCAAGAAGGGCTCTTCTACTGTACACTCAACAAGCAATTAGTTCCGTATCTGCATATGAGAACCAGGTAATGATAGATGACTTGCTGGTTTTCTTTGAGAAAGCCAACATCAAGCCCAGCCAATCAAGAAGGATTGGGGATGAGACTCAGGTAAATAAAGCACAATTCATACCTCTTATGGCCCCTCAACAACATGAAAATATAAATGAACCTATGTCATTCTATAGACCTCTTATACTCTAAGAGAGATATGAGAAGGGAATGATCATAAATCTTGTGCTTGAGAGGGAGTACTCCACTTACCCCGCAAACCTAGTGTTCAATCACAACGTAAATAATATGGGAATGAGACCTGGGGGCCAACTAAGGCCACAAATGTATGGTACTCCTGCATATGTGTAACAACCCTGACCCAGGATTAACGATAATTGATGATTTAATATGCCCAATAGGATATTAAGACCAGATTTTGAATTAATTGCATATGTGGTGCATTATTTATGTTTCTATCTGTTTATTGTAGGAATATCTGTTTGAGTTTCTACTATATTTTGCGAATTGAAAGCCTTATCGGCATCCGATTCAGAAATTGACTTGATTTATGTGTTAATTAGAATTTTTAGAATTTTATGGTAGATTCAATTGAAATTCGATTTGAAACGATTAAATTTGTTTGACTTAATGTCCATATATTTGACTTTAATTAAGTACACTTCTACTCAAGCCTACATAAGGCCTATATACCTCACTTGAGCCTCTTTTTCATATCATCTTTAAGCCCCCAAGAGATAAAAACGTGGGAGAAAGAGAGAGAGGACAAGAATTGAGATCAAACCTTGAAGTTGGTAGGAACTTCCTTGGGAATTGGAGAATTGCTCAAATCATCATTAAACCCTAAGGAATTGAAGACTCTTGGTGAGGATTTTGTCCTTAAGCTTTGCATTTTAGACATTAGTGGAGGAATTCAACAAATTAAGTGGTTAAATATGAGAATTGAGTTAAGGAAGTAAGAAATATGATCATCCCATGCATGCATGTGCATTTCATGAAGTTTTATTCTTGTTGTAAAAGAATTTCCTCATGCATGTACTAAGTCTCACTTGATTTTGGGAATTCATCATAACTTATAACAATTAGGTTTATTTGATCATATTTTGAGAAGCTTAAGATCAAGAAAATTCATGCATGTTATGTTCATGAAACATTCATAAAGTTTAAGTTGAATTTTTGAACAATTGGCATGCTTTTGGGCCTTGATTTCATGAAATGATATTCAAAGCATGATGTTTTGTGAGTTTCTAAATGTTTTCCAGAATTTTGGTCTAAGAGGATGAGTTTTGAAGTGTTTAGTTGAGTTTGAAGCTTGGAGATGAAATCTGAAAATTCCAGAATTTGAATCTACGCTTGAGCGTAGGAGTTTACGCTCGAATGAAGCACTCTGAACGTGTGCACTTCCGCTCGAGTGACATGATACCCGCTCGAGCGTGAAATGCATGTATCCAGAAGTTCACATGTTTTGTAGCACGCTTAAGAAAGGGTCTGAGTCTCACGCTCGAGCGGAGATCGAGCATCCATCGAGCATAAAAACAAGCAACCAGCACTTTTGCCAAAGTTTACAGACCACTCGAGCGAAGGAAGTTAGGCTTGAGCAGACCTTTACATTTTGCATTTACGCTCGAGCGTGGACCCTATTTTCAGCAAGTTTTGAAAAATGTTTTCAAGTGCATTGTTGCATCCTCATTCCATCCTAAGCATTCCTAGGCCATGACTAAGACACTATAATAAGGATAAAGTTTAGAAACACACTTGAGACATGAAAATGTGTTATGTGCAATTTGTGCATGTGTTTCAATGTATGTCTTTGTCATGTTATGTAGGTCACGCGCCATGAGTTAAGTGAATTATCTACGCTACTCGTTTACTTGGAGCCATTTGTTAATTGTGAGTAATAACTCTGTAAAGCTATGTTTAATTACAAGTATTTTCTGACTGACATGATACGATCTGTTTTCTGAAATGCTATTTTATGAATTATGAATGAATGTCCAATTTTCTAAAATATATTTATGGCATCCTTAGTTCACGTGGCCCTCGCCCGGGGGTAACAAAACCGTGGCCAATATGTACATGGCTCTCGCCCAGGGGTAACAATACTATGGCTTATATTCATGTGGCCTTTGCTTGGGGGTAACAATACCGTTGCCTATATTCACGTGGCCCTTGCCTAGTGGTAACAATACCATGGCTACTTACGTGCAAGATATGGACCTTTATGGTCGTCGGTATTGACTATACATGTGGGTCTCAGGCCCAAGTTGATATGATAGCTAATGGGTGTACCATGTATGATCTTATGCAAAATCTAACTATGAATATGAGCATGTATCTGAATCCAATTCTGATTTGAAATCTGAATATGCATAAGACTCTGTTTCTGATAAGAATATGTTTTTGATATAAACCCTAATTTCTAACTCTGTGATGGACATCATTCATTAAAACCCTTTACCTTGTTATTATTCACTGGGCTTCCGCTCATTATTTATTTGAATGTATGTAGGTGAACAGGTGTGTGACCAGGCCTAAGTTGCTGCCTGGCGAGTTTTGGTGTCAGCCAGCCATCAAGCCTCCCGTGGAGGTTCCCTTTTGAGATCTGCTCAAGTTTTTGTGTCCTTGGGACTTTTGTACTTTCTAAATGCTTATGTCTGGTCTGAACATGTTTGAAAGTTTTGTATAAGTGGCTTGGGTGATGTAAGACTAATGTATTTTGACGCCACATCTGTATATATATATATATAAGTTTGTTTTGAAAATTTCCTGTCCCATGTATATCTGCACAGCTCTATGGACTATGTATGTTTAGTGTATTTGTTTCTGTAGCCCCTGTTTATATATTATTCTATTCAGAGGCCTTTGGTAACCCCAGGGATTACTGATTGGTTATGATACTAAATCTATAGGGGCTAGTTTGGGTTGTGATAGAGTGGTATCAAAGCATAAGTTATACCGTACACACGAGTCCATATGAGCTATAGGATGCTCTAGTAAGAAATAGAGGCATCTCATCGACATGTATGTGAGTGGATTCATTAAAAAAAAAAAAAAGAATAAGAAAACTGGAATTGACCATGAACACATGACATTAAAAATGAATGTTTTGAACATTATGATAAGAACTATTTGCCTATGTTTATTGCCCTTCTGTTTCCCTATAGCAATGAAAAATACAAGAAGTGATAATACAGCAGGATCGTCGGAGTCCTGAATGAATAGAATGGAATAGATGCTTACAGCTTTAACTGAGGTAATAACACAACAACAGCGTCAACAACCTTTACCTCCTCCACCTCCACGGGTACCAGTTGAACCGGGCAACAATGACATTATCAATCTGACTCAAAAGTTTATGAAAATGAAACAGCTGACCTTTCTTGGTGGAATTGAATCGTTAAAGGCTGAAGTGTGGTTGTTGGAAATGGAGAAGTTGTTTGAAGTATTTCCTTGTTCCGAGGTTCAGAAAGTTCTTTTGGCAATCTACACTCTGAAAGATAAAGCCCGGAGATGGTGGTTGTTGGTTCGAAATAACAACGGGGACATGACATGGGCACAATTCAATGAGATATTCTACAACAAATACTTTCCCAAATGCTTCAGGGACCGAAAAGTTTCTGAATTCCAAGAACTCAAACAAGACAGAATGTCTGTGGCCGAATATGAAGCTAAGTTTACTGAATTAGTTCGTTTTGCTCCGCACATGGTAGACACTGATTACAAGAAAGCGCGAAAGTTCGAGGGAGGACTAGAGCTGGAAGTATTTGATCGAGTAGGTGTCTTGAAATTGCCTACTTATGTAGAAGTGCTCGACAGGGCATTGATAGCAGAAGCCATAATAGCAGCTAAGAAACAAACTACAACTCCAACAACTGAATGGAAAGGAAAGAGGGCCGGATTTAATTTCAAGAAGGGTCGATCATTTTTGAAGAAGCAAAATACAGGATCTGCCAGTAGCCCTAGTCAAAGGAGCGGATCTACTCCAAATTGCCCCGACTGCGGGAAGAAGCACAAAGGTGCATGTTACCGCATATCAGGTGTGTGTTTTCAATGTGGCAAGACTGGCCACATGGTTAGGGATTGCCCGATGAGATCCAATGAGGTTAGCCGTCCTGTGGCAAGTTCAATCGGGTCTGTTTCTGCATCAAGATCAAATGCAAGAACCAATGCTAGAGGTGACACTAATAATGAAACGTTGAGGCAAGGGAAAGTGTTCGCACTTATACCCAGAGATGTACAGAACACCGAGTCTGTGGTGTCAGGTATAATTTCCATTTGTGCCCAGAGTGCATATGTCTTGATAGATTCTGGTTCTACACACTCGTTTGTGTTGCATGCCTTTTCTCGAAAACTAACTAGACCTTTAGAATCCATGAATTATTTATTATCTGTATCTATGCCATCTGGAGATTCTATGGTATGTGCATATGTATATCCGACATGTGATGTTTTGATTGGTGATATGATACTATACGCTGATTTGCTGCCTTTGAGTATTGATCACTTTGATTGTATTCTAGGTATGGACTGGTTGACTAAATGCTGTGCTACTATTGACTGTGCAAGTAAATCTGTTGTGTTTAGACCACCGGGTATGCCTGAGTTAATTTTTACTAGAAATGGGGTAGTTCCTCTCCCATACTTGACTTCGGCCATGAAAGCTGTTAAATTGCTTAGGAAGGGATATAGGGGCTACTTGTGTTGTATACTGGCTGCATCATCTGATAGTACTAATGTGGAAACTTTTCCTATTGCTTGTGAATTTCCTGATGTGTTTTCGAATGACTTGCTTGGAGACTTAGTTAATAGAGAAATTGAATTCACTATTGACGTAATCTCGGGAACACAACCTATTTCCAAGACCCCTTATAGAATGTCAACCTCAGAATTGAAAGAATTAAAAACTCAACTTCAGGAACCGCTAAACAAGAAATTCATCCGTTCGAGTACTTCAGCTTGGGGTGCTCTAGTTCTATTTGTCAAAAAGAAAGATGGATCTTTGAGGTTATGTATAGACTATCTGGAATTGAACAAAGTAACTATCAAGAACAAATACCCTCTACCCCGAATAGATGATTTGTTTGATCAACTTCAAGGAGCCCAAGTGTTTTCCAAGATTGACCTCAGGTCTGGGTATCACCAGTTAAAAGTTAAGATAGAAGACATAGAGAAAATTGCATTCAGAACTAGATATGGACATTATAAATTTTTAGTAATGCCGTTTGGGGTGATTAATGCACCTGCTCTCTTTATAGACGTTATGAACAGAGTGTTTAAATCATTTATGGATGAATTTGTTGTTGTATTTATTGATGATATTTTAATTTACTCCAAAAGTAGGGAAGATCATGAGAATCACTTGAGAACTGTGTTATAGATTCTAAGAGAAAAGAAGCTATATGCGAAATTGTCCAAATGTGAATTCTGACTTGACAGTGTAACATTTCTGGGACACGTAATCAACAAGGATGGTATCTCTATTGACCCATAGAAAATTAAAGTTATTGTGGACTGGCCTAAACTGACAAATGTGATAGAAGTTAGAAGTTTTCTAGGACTTGTAGGTTACTACAGAAGATTCGTGAAAGACTTTGCAAAACTTGCCATGCCATTGACCCAGTTAACTCAAAAAAATATATCATTTGATTGGAATGAACAGCGAGAGTCAGCCTTTCATGAGTTGAAGACCAGATTAGTAACTGTACCGATTTTGACTTTGCCCAATGGTACTGATGGGTTTCAGATTTATAGTGATACTTTCTACAAAGGTTTGGGGTGTATGTTAATACAAAATGGGAAAGTAATTGCTTACGTGTCACGACCTAAACCCGCCTTTAAGGGTTAAGCAGCATAACCGACCAGTAACCCGTGGTTACCAAAGGCCTGCTTAACAGTAATGACAGTAATACAGAGTAAGGGGCTGGCGGAAGCTAAACAGTAAATAAAAGATGTCCAATAAGCTGTGAAAATCTGAATGCGAAAAGACTTCTATGGACTAGTTCACATTAATAACCAAAAGCATATATACATATCAGAAATACATAACATACAGGTTAGGGATCCAATCCCTTTGCCATAACTGTACAATCAAAAAGTCTTAAACAATCAATACATAACGGAGACAAAAAGGGTGAATCTGAAGCACTCCAAAACCGCCTTGGCTTGAACGGACTTGGAACCTCGAAGTGAGGCACAATGGTTGGCTTGACAAAACATAAGCTTATCTTGATGCTCCTAGTTTCGGTCCGGTGGCTGGCTACCTACATACATATATAAACAGTGAGCTAAAGCTCAGTGAATAACAAATGTGTAAAGGGGTTAAGAATGTATGTCCTTTCAGTAATTAAAAGAGTCATTTGCATCAGTAGATCAGTTATTTGATCAGTGGCTCATATTTCATGCCATATCAGTCAGTTAGAAATCATAGCAGTCATATGTGGGACACCCAATAGCAAAATAGTACAGTAGGTCTTAATAGACCGAACAGTCAGTTGATGGCCATCAAAACAGTAAACAGCAGTAGTTCCAAGCATTGGAACTGACAGAGATCTCTGTAACAGTAGCAGTAACAGTAACAGTATAGTAGCAGTAGCAGTAACAGTAACAGTAGGTTGCTATGGATGCCACGAGTACAGTTTACAAATAGGACAAACATTCATTCAGTAAACCATGTTGTTTCAGAAAACAGTACAGTCAATCGTTCAGAAAACAATTATAATTGAACATATCTTTACAACATTGTTACTTACAGAGTACTGGGCTATAGACAGGCTAATGAGCGTCCTCGGATGCCAACCATACACAGTTGCAGAACGAACACACACTAAATTACACATTCGGGATTAATAACTTAGCCCTTATCTTGACTTGGTGTGGTTCTATAACATTATCCTCATTAAGATGCCTTAAACATGGCCTAGGAATGCCTAGGATGGAATGAGGATGTAGAAATGTACTTTTAAACACTTTTCAAAATTTACTGAAAACAGGGGTCTCGCTCGAGCGTGGCTTTCTTCGCTCGAGCGAGCTTACCAAAACAGAGGGGTCGCTCGAGCGTAAACTCCTTCGCTCGAGCGGTCTGCAAAAATGAAAAAAGTATTGGTTGCTGAAATTCTCCGCTCGATGCTCGCTCGAGCGTGAGACACAGTTCTTCGATTGAGCGTAGGTCTCGTCACTCGAGCGTGCGTTTGCACACGCAGAAAACCTGAGAGCTTGCAATCTACGCTTGAGTCAGCATTCCGTCGCTCGAGCGGAGCTCTAAACACAAAGGTGGTCGCTCGAGCGTGGAAGCCAAAATCTGAGTTTTCCAGATTTTCTTCCAAAGCTCAAACCAAGAATTAAACATGCCAAAACTCATCCTTTTTGGGCTAGTTTTCTGGAAAACACATGGAAACTTATAATACAACATGTTTTGAAGATCATTTTACAAAATCAAAGCCCAAAAGTAAGCCAATTGAACACCAATGTTCAATGAAAGTTGAAAAACAATGCAAGAACATAACATGCATGAGTTCTCATGAACTCTAATGCTCCAAAACATGATCAAATGCAAGATTGAACTCTAAAACATGGTGAATTCTTGGACCACAACTAAAATATGCACATGCATGAGGAAATTCTCATGAAAACAACCTCAAAATTCAAGGACATGTACATGCAAGCATACATTGCTTCTCAATTCAACCCCTTAGGCTATATCTTGACTCTAAACTCCAATATTCCCATGAACCATGCAAGAAACAACTTAAATTCGTAATTAAGAGGGTGAATGTTCTACCTTAAGTCTTAAATTCTAAGTGTAGAAGCCTAATCTCCCAAGCTTTCTTCAATTTCTTTTAAGTTTCAAGCCAATCTTGTTGAATCAATTCCTTTCTCCTACTCTCCCTCTCTCTCACGGTTTGAACAAGAAGATGGATGAAGAAATGATGGCAAACATATCAAAAGTGTAAAGGAAGTGGTCTTGAATCAATCCACCAAATGGCAAAAGTGTAATAACTCAAGTTGATGTAATTTGATATTATTATTCTAATTTAATCATTCCAAATTGAATTTTAATTAAACCTACCATAAAATCACATAAATCATAATTAGCACATAACACTAATCAATTTCTGAATCGGGTGCCGATAAGCCTTTCAATTCGTAATTCAAAAATTAAAACATGAACAGATCATCCAGTAACAAACAGATAGAAATGCACTCTAAACATCACACTCATGCAATCAATTCAGGATTTCATCATAATCAATTACTCATCATGCTTAATCACAAATTAGCACTAATCAGAGGTGAGGGTTGTCACATTATGCCTCTCGGCAACTCCGTCCATATGAAAAGATTACCCAACGCATGACCTTGAATTGGCAGCTGTCATTTTTGTTTTAAAAATTCGGTGACATTATCTATATGGTGTCACTTGCGAAGTATATACTGACCATAAAGCCTCAAATATTTCTTCACTCAAAAAGAATTAAACATGAGACAGAGGAGATGGTTGGAGTTGATCAAGAACTATGATTTGCAAATTTTGTATCATCCAGGAAAAGCTAATACTGTAGCTGACGCCTTAAGCCGAAAATCCATTGGGAATTTGTCATGTTTGCTCACTCACCAGAAGGAATTGTTATGTGACCTGGAAAAAAATGAGATTGAAATTGTTTCGCGAGATCAATATAGGATTTTAGCTGTCATTTTCGCTCAACCTGCAATCATTGAAGAAATCAAACTGAAGCAACTTGAAGATGAGTACTTGAAAAAGATTGTGGAAGAATTTGACACAAAGCTGAAGCCGGGGTCTGTGTTTGAGAATAATGTGTTAAAATTTCAGAATATACTTTGTGTACCAGATTCCTCTGATTTAAGAAAGTGTATTATGACCGAAGCTCACACCACCAAATTTGCCATGCATTCAGGGAACACAAAGATGTATCATGATTTGAAACAAAATTTTTGGTGGCCTGGAATGAAAAAGTGCATTGCAGATTTTGTAGCTAAATGTTTGCACTGCTAACAAGTTAAAGCTGAACATCAACGACCCGCTGGATTACTTCAGCAGCTCCCAATACCGGAATGGAAGTGGGAACATATTACTATGGATTTCATTGTCGGTCTGCCTCGCTCTCCTTGAGGTATGGATTCTATCTGGGTTATAGTTGACTATTTGACTAAATCTGTCCACTTTTTGCCTGTTAAAACTATTTATAATGCGGACAAGTTAGCTAACATGTATATGAATGAAATTGTGAGATTACATGGTGTACTAGTATCTATTGTATCTGACAAAGATTCGAAGTTTGCATCAAGATTCTGGCAGAGTTTGCAACTGGCTTTGGGAACTGAATTGCGATTGAGTAGTGCCTACCATCCACAGATAGACGGTCAATCTGAAAGAACCAATCAGACTTTAGAAGATATGTTACGGATGTGTGTGTTGGATTTCCAAGGGAATTGGAAGACTTATCTACCAGTAGCTGAATTTGTGTATAACAACAGTTATCATCAAGTATTAGGATGGCTCCTTATGAAGCTCTGTATG